AAGACCTGCAGAGTGAACGTAGCCTAAGTCATCATCAGTGACCTAATCCTAACTCAAACCCATCCCTGCACACTCACCATGTGCAGGGATGTCAATTAATTCTGGTGATTCTTTGAACTGTTCTCTTGCACAGTGGAATAATGGTGCACCATCTTTAATAAGTTTAAAAAACACGAGTTGGGTCCCCAATTTATTTGGGATTTTCCCTGATCCACACAGGTATGCATACAGGCTAAAACATACTCATAGACACCCAGAAATATTTGGGTAAATGTCCCTTAGCGAGTTGCACCTCAGTCGGATGCTTTTGGCATCCGTCACCAAGCTTCTGGCATCATCCTGCTCTTCTCGGCAGAATCGAGTTAACTTACACTGGGTGGCTTCCTGGCAGAGACACATCCAGATAACTTTTACTTACGGTTGTTTGAACTGATGATCTTGGAAGATGCAAACCTGGACTTTCTGTTGTTCTGAGTCTTGGTCAGCCCAACGAGTGCTGTCAAACAAATCCTTTCGATAGTGCAACGAGAGACTACCAGCTGCAGCTCATGATCACTATGCAAAGGATTTAGGCCTCGTTGGGTTAAAGACGTGCAGAACCTTCAGCACCAGTTATTAAATATTAAAGCGGGCGTTTGTATGTATATATGTGAGTCTGTGTGGATTAGAGGAAACCCCAAACACACTTGTCCACATTTATAACAGAACTCAGGGAGGCATGACTTGAAAGCTAGCACTACTTTCTGCCATAGCACAACCTCTACTGCACACTGAGTTATTACCTCCAGGTTCTGCAGGTGTCCTTCCTGCGGGTCACACAGCAGCGAGGAGATCCGGTGGTTCTGCCTCATGCAGCGGGTGCTGCTGTCCTTCAGCAAGGGGAAGATCTGCCGGATCACCGTCATGCGCCCCAGTGCACTGTGGGTAAGCTCCAGGATCTCTGTGTCGCTGATTTCCTGTGGCGATGAGACGGCGGGACAGAGTGAAGGAGACGTTATTGACCTCGCTCGGTCTGTTTGTCTGCATATTAACTGCTGGAGTGTTTATTGTCTCCCGAGAAGCCGGGTGAGGGTTTGGTGAGAGGCCGATGCTGATTGTGGCAGATTTCTCGAGTGTTTGTTTTTGAACCCTGCGCCCGACGAACAAAAGTATGTTTATTTCATCTGTCGTGTTAATTAATTACAGAGAATGTGAAGTTTCATGAAGAAAACCGAATGTCAGTGTCAAGCCAAACGGGAAGGACGGCGCATGCCAGCCATTAAAACGCTTCTTTTGTGCCTAATTGCTTTGACGAGAAGAAAGCCAATTATTTTCTGTGAGGTGTAATTACAGATAGCCTCGGCCGAACTCTAAAAGCATAATTAAAAATATCTATGAAGAATATTAGGTTTATTAGGTTTTATAACACCAAACATAATTACGGTCTACATCTTAAGTAAAAGCGAACGCAGCTGCAGTTTATCTATTAGAAACGTCCACTTTCTTCTATTTCTGTATGCAAGTCGCCTTCATCCAATTAAAAGTGAACCTGTAAACAAAAGTCACGCAGACGTGTAGCTCATTTATTGAATGGGTTTGAAAACATGTCATTCTGTCAGGCCAAAGGGTTTAAAGTCAAAACAAGCTGGATTCCAGGTAATTGCCGCGATGGCATTAAGTTCAGTTCACTCCTCTTCCTCCTGCTGAACACACAACGACGTGCGAGAGCCTCTGTGCCGTCTCCGTACGCGGCGTTTCAAAGGTAGACAAAGCCTCCGGGCGTGAAAGGGAACCTTAAGCTGCTTAAACCTGCTTTCTTTCTAGTGGCCACCAGGGGGCGATTACTCCTGCTCCAAAAAACATGAGCTATGTGACCTATGACCTCGGTTTGGTATTCTTGGGCAAAATGAAAATCATGCATTTACAGCAAACGGGACATGTTTGTGCTCTGGACTCATAACTGATTAAACCTGTGGAATTCACCAAAAGTCCTTTTTATGGCCTAAAGAACAAACGATTTAAAAAGGCAACATTATTACTGAGCTCCTGACACAGATGTTATTTATTAACGTGCATCCTGTCAAACTGTGACTGAAGTGGAATCAGACGAGTTGAGCCCGGCGTTACAGCCGCCCTCTCTTCCTGTTTACATCCCAGTCTGGAATAATGTTCCTGAGTAGGTGTGAAGCTTCAGATGATCAGGTTCATTCACTTTGTTTACTTTCATGTCTTTTCTGTACATTTTTGTGCTGGTCTGCAGAAAGCGCTCTCAGTGAAGTCAGCAGGATGATGCTGGACGCGACGATATCGAAACTTCCCCTCAGTCTGTTTGAGCTAAATGTGATGAATAAAGTCAGATATTTGGGTCACGTCATCAGGAATTATCTGCCCAACAAACCAACAGTGTGCTGTGCTTCACTTTGTGCAGCTTGTTTGGTGTGTGGAGGTGACACAAAAGTGTAGACGAAACGTTTGCGACTCGTAAAGTTCTCATGTTGTGTGCAGAACACATGAAAACTGATTGTATGGTCGGCTCTGTGGCAGATACTGAAGCAGAGACTAAGTGGAAGCTGCACAGACGCTGGTATCTGCAGCAGAGTACGAGCTCGGCTATGGTGGAACAAATGTGTCAGTGACATGAGTGTTCATTTAGAACAGGCGTGGGGGAGTCCAGGCCCCGAGGGCCGGGGTCCTGAACAAAGTTCCCTCTAATGTTTCATGTGTCTGAGCGAACACACAAACTCCCTGAGCGTCCCACTGTGAGCAACAGCAGACGTGTGCACTGTGGTCACGCCAGCATCCAAGTTACATGTTTATTAAAGTAATCTAATTACAGCATTTATGTTAGACTACTTTTATTTAGCCCACTTACAATGAAAATAAAAAAAATCTTGTTCATGACCTGTAGCATGTTCACACTATTGGAAGTAAAAATAACTTTAACTCCAATTTTGAAAACACAACTTTCTTTTTCTTTTCTTTTAAATAAAGCTCTGACTGTATGATGAGTCTGTGGTCTGGGAGAGAGTCTGTAACTCTGTCTGCAAAATACAGTAAATAATGACCAATGTTGGGAAATGAATTAACTAGTAACTGAGTTATGCAAACAAAGTTTTTTGCAGCTGTTTACCTAAAAATGCAGCCAAGACGTTTTTTTAAATAAACATTTCAAACTATTTACAGAACAATCAGCTGTTCTGCATCAAATCTGATGCCACACAAATTATTTGTGTCACTCCAAAAAATGATTTCTGTCCACTATGAGATGAAGGAGAACAACAGCCTGATACCTGCAGGCCTGACAGCAGCAGATGTGTCACTGCTGTAACACCTGTAACACTCAGCAGTCGCCTCATTGTTCTGACACACAACAACACTATTGACTACACTACACACTAACTACACAAGATTTGTTTAGTTAGGCTCAGGGGGTTGGGAAGCTCATCTTGTAACTGTAAGGTTGCCGGTTCGATCCCCCAGCTCTATCTGTCCTGGTCATTGTATCCTTGGGCGAGACACGCCTACTGGTGTTGCCCGATGGTGCGATATGGCAGCCTCGCTTCTGTCAGTCTGTAGCTGCCTCCACCAGTGTGTGAATGAATAGTGGAATTGTAAAGCGCTTTGAGGGTCTCAAAAAGTGCTGTATAAATGCAATCGTTATTATTATTATTAATTCTTTGGCCTATTTTGATATATAATTTTAAAACATGGCTTTTAGCTGCGATCGAGTGTTTCGTGCCACGCTTTGATGCTTGATGATCTCTGAGTGGCTGCAGGGACTCAAAGAAATCCAATTCAGACCATTTGGTTGCACTTGGCACCACAGAGCCGCGGCGCCGAAATGGATGCAATATTACAGGGCGCGGTAATGACCTGCATTCAGGCACAAGCAGATTTAATGGGAGGGGGTGTGCTGATTCTGACAGCGACTGGGAGGGAAGCTGGTGATCACGGAAAGAATCAGATAAGAGGTTTGGAGAGCAGTTATTTGGTGAAAAACACAGTGTGATTTTTTAGCTTTCAGGAACAGGTAATGGTGCTGTGAAGAAAGATGGGATCCTGGCCGAGAGCACAGGGCGCACAGCTTACTGCAGCTTATTCAGAAGCAATGAGGCTGTCGGTTAACACTTCAGATGATAGAAAACACGCCACGGCGAGCTGTTTATCATAGCCCGCCGTTAGACCGGTGTTGTACAACTGCTGTTAGGCGTTATTAAGCAACACAAGTTTCTACCATGAGTGCAGCTCATTACACAGCAGAAAACAAAATTGTCACACTGATGAAAAATGTGAGGGCTCTGCAGTGTGGGGATGAGCTGTGTGTGAGCAGTGCAGGCATCAGCAGGTTCACGGAGAGAGCTGCTCTCATACATCCTTACATGATTACTGTGGGATATTAGCATGCTAACACGCCGGCGCGGTTTATTCAGACGGCGCCGGCTCATAAGTTTCCTCAAGGTGCTGCATGATATGAGGTTCAACATCAGAGTCGTGCAGGACAGCTTTGAGCTGATGATGCACTGCAGGAAATGTCAGAGAATCAACAATATTACGATTCATCTTCAGGAAACCATGAAGCTCTGTGTTAGAGTTCATGGTAATCAGCTGATCACCAGCAGGGTCCATCCTGTGGGGAGCACGCATGACCTCACGGACGCCAAAACAGTCGGCATGTCGGGTCTTAAACCACACAGTCCAAGAGTACCTGCGCTTATGTGGAAGTGAAAATAAATGAGACTGCAGTTCCTCAAATGCCCACTTGGGGCTGACTCCAGTGTTAAAACATGTTTACAGCAGAAATAAACATGTTTATGTTTTTGACCCAACGTTTTGAGTTTTATGTCTTTTTTGTATTATAATGTTCTTGTTTGTATAGTTTACACTTCTGTTAGTTCTGTTGATGGTGAGTTCTGTTTCCCTGTTTAGTTCGCGTCTGCCCAGTTCCATCCCAGGTCTGTGTTGGTTATGGTGTCGTGTCTTTAGCGTTGTGAGTCTGTCAAGTCCCCTGCGTTAACGTCTCCCTCGTCTTTAGGTTAC